CTGTGGGTGTCACTGGGGTGGGGATTCACCTAGGGCTCGTGCAGGTGCCGCCCACCTGTGTACCGCGGCCTCCTGCGCCAGGTGCCCCTCAGGGCAGGGGAGGGGGCCCTGCGGAGGCGCGCACCCCCTGGCATTCCCGCACCTGCGCGTCCTGCCCGCTGCGCAGAGCTGCCGGAGTGCGGGGCGGCGCGGGGTGGCAGGCGCTCGAGCGCGGTGTTCTCAGTAGTCGGTGGCCAAGGTGGATAAAACGTGTGCCACCAACAGAAACCAGGCCCCCCCAGGGGAGGGTGGCAGGGGCCACAGGGGGCCTGATCCAGGCCAGAAGGGGGAGGGGTGGGTGGTGTTTACACTGTGTCGTCAAGTGTGACTGCGTCTTAGTGTAACAGGAATAGCACAGATCATAGAGACCTCTAGTGGTGTAATTTTGAGCTGCATAATGACGGCTTAAAACCAGTTTTAGGTGCTAGTATGCAGACAATCCAGGGATTAAATCATTAAGAGCTCCAGCAGCTGCCCAAAATTACAGTGCAACACGGCCCTGAGCTTGCCACTGTATTGCCAGAGTGAATTTAGGCTCTAATCTAAAAGTAGCCACCTACAAAGGGCCTCCTAAAAGTCAGGCCTCTGTGGATTCAGTGGCAGACCTAGGGCCTAAATTTGTCATTCCCTGTGGGTTGCCACTTATGTTCGTCAGAGAGCAAATGCTGCTGCTACTCCATAAATGTTGATGATGGTAACTAAAAAAAAAAAAAAGGTAACCAGACTAGATGTAATTTGGTATTTTTAGCTGGAGTAGTGGACAGGGATCTGCAGTTTCTGCATTTTTTCTCTCCCTCCGCTAATGATTCCTTTTGGAAATTTGGAATAGTGAGCGAGTCATCTTGTGCAGCAATATATGTGTCCTTGTATCTTTACATAGAAGAACCTGGAGGGCCTGGTGGATGCCCTTGCACCCAAATTAGGTAGAGTTCCCAATTGAAAAAAAAATCTTTTCAGAAGAAATGCTACTGTCTAAAGACCTGCAGAGTTGTGCTAAGCATGTTGTGCTGGAACAGCCCAAGGAAACTGAGCAGAGGTGCAATAACTGCACATGGGTAGGACTTGAGCCTAGTGCCTGCTCAGGGTCAGTGCCCTAAATTGCTCAGTGATACCCATCATGAATAGGTGGCATGGAAGCTGCAAGCCAGCAATTGGGGTGAACCAGAGATGATGATCTGAATGTTGCTACAGAGAGAGAAAATATTTCCAAAGGACAGAGTCAGCATAAGACAGAAACAAAGAACCACAAATGCATCCAAAGGCAGCCAAGTTTAATGTAATTACCATCCTTATTAAGCAGTCATCAATGTCATTAAATATCATTAGGATTAAATTACTTCTCTAGGACTTTGGTTTAATTGGGTAATCCAGTTAATCAGAGTCTCAATTAAAAGGAAGCTATTGTCATAAACCATTTGTCTTTTTTTCTTCCTATTGAGCTGATCTGACTGTGCTATAAACCACTCAAAAGCCCCCAATCCATAGTTTTTTCAAGTGGCTTTGATTGTTTTTCAAAATGGTCAGGTGGTAAACATCTGCTATGAATTCCGTATCATCTACATTTAATGCCATGTAGGCATTTTGCTTGTTTCACAAACTCCATACAGAGGTTTATTGAGTAAAGTAATACATTGCAGCATATGGAGGTTTCCACTGAAGGTAAAAGTAAAAAATGTCCTGTTTTGCTGCTGAGTCACAAATAAAAGCCTGAGCCTGCAAATGTTTAAACACAAGTTTAACTTCAAGCGTGAGTAGTTTCATTGACTTCAGTGGGACTGAGTAAATGCTTAGAGATGAGCACATGCTTAAGCATTTGCTGTATCGGGAAACAGTTTGAGCATATAACTGAACCTGAAAAAACAGGAACTTGAGCCTAGATATTTTGAACAACAGAACTAGAAGTGGGAAAGAGCCTTTGAAGTCTTTTTCCTACAGTAAAAACAAGAAAAGCACAGACACAAGCCCATTCTTTCTTTTGCTGGTGACATTCATGGTATCCTTTTTAAAAGGTTTTCTGCTGTAAAGTCACTGACAACAGAGAGGTAGGTAGTATTCAAAACTACTTAAAAGTGAGGTTTGAAAGTTTGTGTGTGTCTAGGTCACTATAGTTCAAATCCTATGAGAATAAATTAATTTGAATAAACAAGTTTTTTAACAAAAACAAACCCATCCAAGGCTAGGTATCCAGGTTGTAGCCATATCGGTCTAGTGGCAAAAGCAATCAGGACTCATGGTAGAGATGATATTTTTTATTAGACCAACTAGATTTTTGCAAAAAGAATTCTTTGCCCAAAAGCTTGCAATTAAAGATTTTTTTAATTATTTTTGCAAAAATCTAATTGATCTAATAAAAGATATCACCTCTACCACGAGTCTATCCATGGCTAAGCACTCTTAACAGATCATTAACAACACAATCAAAGCCCAGCAGCCCCTACCTGGCCATTTCACAGCCTGCTAGATACCACACCTCCCCCTTTTCATGGTTGTGGATGTGTTTTCTGGCCTTCCCAGATCACCAAGCGTGGGCTATTTCCAAGTAATCTGGGGAGCAAGGCTCCCAATCCTCACCAGAAGCTGCCAGCTGCCACTTTTTCTGTATTTGAAGCCCCTCATTTTAAACTCAATGACTGAAGGTGCAAGGATGTTGTACAGGGAGAGAAACAAACCAATCCTAGGCCATTTAGGGTTATATAGGTCATAGATGCACCTTAGGCTCCTTCTTCAAGACCCAGAGGAAGCCAGTGCAAATCCCGGTGCCTTGCTTGTCATCTGATCCCAGGGATGTTTCTATAGAGGGTGCATTGCAGTTATCTAAAATGGCCTAATCTTGGAATAACTAATGAATGGATTAGTAGTAAGAACTTAATCCAAAAAGGAATTCCACAACCCCCCAGCCAGGTAAAAATAATAAAAGGCTGACTGGGACTGAAAACAACTGGTTTAATGCAGTTCTGATTAGGCCAGGTTATATGGGATGTATGACTCCCAGCAAAATAGACTAGGCACAGCCTAGAGTTAATTGCCAATTAAGTCAAATTAGCCAGGATTATTCTGAGGTAAAATGTTTAATTTGAATAATTCACAGGTACTTAGTGTCAGACAATGGGTTTGTCAGTTTGTAAGGTCTGGGGTTTGCTGGGATACAAAATACTCAACTGTGAATCAAAATAGTTGCCTACATTTAGCTTGGGTTACTACTGTTACCCTCGGACATCTCTTTAGTGTCATATCTACAATACTAGTTTCAGTGTAGTTGTTAGGGACAGTACCGAAAACCTAAATTGCTGTATTTTTTTTTTTTTAGTAGTAGTCAGATCAGTTTACAAGGACTTTAGAAGTAGCTTTAGGTTGCTCTGCCTTCACTTCTAGACATGGCCCCTTGAGGTGTGTGTATCAGTATTGAAAAGTACTGTACATACTGTTTCTGACAGCGCTACGCTTGTTCTGTGGCTAGGGGACTTCTTTGCCTGTCATTCTGGCAGCTTTCCCTGGGCTAAGAAAAAGGGCTACTGTAGACTAGTTCCCAGTTTATTAAACTTCTATATCCCCCTTTAAAAACTCACATTTAACAAAAATCCTAGGTTTCTCAGGACAACTACAGAGAGAAAGGCCATTGTCCTGCTCCTTGGCAAGAGTTAACATAATCTTCCTTTCTATGGGAGGTTTGACAGTATGTATTCACACATTTAACAAGGTTTTTCATCTTGAACAGTGTAGGCACTTGCAAGTTGGAGCTGTGAATCTGTTTAGTGACCTTGTAGAGACAAATATACAAACTCAGTCTCCCCTCAGCTCCCTTCCTATGTTCCTAGGCTCTAACACATTCTAAATGAAGCTACTGATTTTCTTCTGCATGGGTTATAGCACTTGTCCAAAACAATGTACGTCTGAGAAGAAGACAATATATGCCTGAATGAATTAAGTGGTTAGTCCTGTGGCCAAAGGCCTAGAAATATATATAGGTAAGGACATGTAAAGATTACAGTGAAAAGCTGTGTTAACCAGCACTTGATTAACTGGCATGCCGGCTGACGCCGGTCAACATGGGAAAAGGGAAACCAGAAGTGGGATTCTGGTTTCGTTGAATCCCACAGCCTGGGGGAAAGCAGCCTATATATCTATATCTATATACAGATATCTTAAAGGACTAATACAAAAATAAAATGAACAAGAATGCAGCAAATGCTGTCTCTTTGTTAGGCTCTGGGAAAAAGAATGTAGAGGTGAAAAGATGATATGTAAGGAATGGTAGCTGTCTGTCACGTAGGGCTTTTTACAAAACCTGTGCCTTGCCATACTCTCATCTAAGTTTATGCTACTGACTTCAAAGGGAACAGGATAGCACCTGCAGTTGTAAACAGGTGATGTTGAGCTCCAATTTTCACCTATTAACAATGATGCAGGTGCACCTGGATGGTTATAAATGGTATAGGGAAAAAAGTGAGTGGTGGTTTTTCACTAAGAATGGGCTTTACTGCAAAGCATTTGGTAACTGTCTGAGCTCCTGCATTTACAGCTGTATGCAACACAGTAGGTTCTCTCTTCCTGAGAAATGTAGTGAGAATGTGCTGGGGTGGTCATTATCTTGTTTCATAAGTAGTGCAATATTCTGCCTTTGAGTTGCAGGTTATGGCTGGGATGTGTGTAAGTGGCTTCTTTTTGGTAGAAGGGAGAATAGTCTTTCAGCCTGATCTTTACACAGGTTGAATATCAAAATAACTGATTTCAATTGAGTTATCCTACTGCTCTAAGATCAGGAATAAGAGCCAGGATATGGGTGGGTTGGTTGGTTGTTTGCCTGTTCTTCCCCTTCTTTTACAAATTGGGTCCAAATGGATTTATATTTCATAATTCCAAGCTACTTTTCCTTAACTGGTTTAGAGCCAAGTGGTGATTATAATCAATGCAAATTCTCACACTTGTGGGATTAAAATGAAAGAACTGAAAGAATAACACCAACATGGGAGGAGAGGGCAATGACTTGCTCTACTCTAAAGATTCTGTACTTCTTGCAAATCAAATAGGCTAACATCAATCATATTCCTACTGTTTCTTTCTAGTTACAATGGGTGACTGGGACAACAGGGATGAAATTATTCAGAAATTGGATTTTTCCAGTTGTGGAGAAGAGAATGAGGTGGGAGAAGACAGCAGTATACAAGAGAAGGACTCCCAGAATTCAAGCCCCGAGAAGAATTGGGACTTTCAGAGCTGGAGTGTTACCAGTCCATTCCCAGTCACCCCCCATAGAAAATTAACTAACCTGTCTCTGACTGAGACAAAATTGTGGGGGAGTCCTGCAATGAAATCTGCCCCATGTGAGACACCCAATGCTAGTCTGGCTTGGGAGACTTCTGCAACTCCACTACATTATATGACCTGGAAAAACCTGCAGCTCTATGATACCCCTCATACACCCAAGGTAAGGCAGCATTTCTACTCTGTGCCTGCTAGATTTAAAAACAAGCAACATTTCTAGCTCTTGCAGACAGAGTACCATTTACAGCCAAAGAACAACCTATGAACTAGGAATGACTAATAGACTTCAGTCATTTGCTTTCAAGTACTTTTTGAGTACTTGATTTTTTTTCTAAGAATGGTTCATTTACCTCGAAGAGAGCTCTATATATTGAACAGTCGGTGAGCAGCATCACTAGGCAGACAGCCTAGGTTAGGTTTTAAGGAGACCCTCTGTGGAAATACACAAATCTGCACAAAGCCCTAGAAATCTTGCTTGTCTTTAAATCTAGCTGTTCTATTGTCAGTTGACTTTATTTTTTTATTCTATGTTGTTGTTGGGTTTTGGGGTTTTTTTTAGATAAGTTAACATGCTTATCAATGGTGATTTGGGGAGTCTCAACATCTGTTCCAAGGAACAAGTCTAGAGGGTTTCTGATCTAGATTTCCAAGATAAATAGATGAAACAGACAAACAGTGGGGTGGGGCAAGAAAAAACAATGAGATAACCACCAGACAGACATTTCAGATAAATGTTTCATAGCTAGCAGTAGTCCCTGCTTGTCTCCTGTCTAGTGTAATCCCAGTAATGACATGTTTGCAAGCAGGCACAGGGTAGAAACATTGCCTTACCTTGGGTGTATGGGGGGGTATCATAGAGCTGCAGTTTTTTCCAAGTAATATAGTGCAGTGGAGTTGCAGAAGTCTCACAAGCTGGACTAGCATTGGGGGTCACACATGGGGCAGATTTCAGTGCAGGACTTCCCCATGATTGTCATGGTCAGAGACAGGTCACTTAATTTTCTATGGGGGCGGGGGGTTGGGGTGACTGGGAATGGATTGGTAATGCTCAAGCTCTGAAAGTCCCAATTCTTCTGGGGGCTTGAATTCTGGGAGTCCTTCTCTTGTATGTGGGCTTACTTGAAAGGGCTGCCAATGTGCTTTTCCTGAAACTCTGTGTTTGCAAATGCACATTAGCTATGGTACGTCTGGCCCTTCATAAGATGGAAGAGGACAAATCTTCTCTTTTGCTCTTGTCCCTCACTGATTAAATGGAGGTTGATCTAGTTTAAAGTCCTTCATCTTTACTAAGTGAGGCTTCTATAATTGCATTTGTTCAGAGAGCTAAAGACTTCTGAATTCCGCAGCCCTGGATAACTTGCATCCCAAAAGAACTAGCTGAACAGGGCAAATCTATGTTTCACTGAAGTTCATCCTGAAATGTTGGGGGATGGGGCCTGGGGAGAGGAAGACCAGATATGCAGAAAGTACCAAGTTTCCCAAAAGGGCAAGCACAATGACCTGGGTTCTGTAAACCAGTTAATGTGACATCAGTCCCAGGCAAACAAAGAAAAGGTGGAACAGGAATCAGGTGATTACGAATGAAAGGGTAGGGTCAATGTGGTTTTACAGAAAATGAGTCTTGTCAAATAAACCTTGTCTCCTCCTTTGAGATTACAAAGTTGACACGGGTAACTGCATAGATCTAATGCATTTAGATTGTTGTGAGGCTCATGGGCTAAGAACAGACATTTGTGGGGCATCAGGGGAGAGGTTAAATCAATTCAAAATGGCTAGCTGATATTGGATAAGTCAGGATGAGGGGGGCTAGCCAGGAGTGGGGAGGTTGGTGGTCCAGCAGGCTGGAGGGGGTCGGGGGGCAGGTGTGGTGGCGTCCCAGGGAGCCTACAACCCCATTCCTTCCGTGCGTCCTCCAATTAGGACTTGCTTGACTCTGCCTGTGGCGAATGTTGATAAAAGTGGCTGCACAATGAGTGGCTTGTGGGATGGGGGTTGAGAGCGCTAACTGGGAAAGGCAGCAGGGGGCAAAAAATAGACCATTGCAGGGGAAGAGGGGAGTAAAAAGAGCAGTCACTGTGCTGGGTCCAGTGGCTGGGTTTTCCCAGCCCCAGGGCTGTACAGGGGAAGCAGACATAATTTAGGTCAAACTGGTGCATGAAACTTGAATGACTCTGATACTATTACATAGATCTAAGTTTATTTTAAACTGGGTTCTGCAATTTTTAGACCGGTTTGTGTGCATGGAACTTCTGTACAGTTGCAGGTTTAGACTAATTGCTGGTCACTAAGACCAGGTCTGTAAACATAAGGTCGGCACTGGGACTACCTAAATTTAAATTGGGTGGCCATTTTGAATCAGATTTAACCTCCCAAGTATCAGTACTTAGTCATGATGATATAAAATGTCACCATAAGATATCGAAGTGCGCATTAAATGAACTAACAGCTGGTGCACAACAGATCTCAAAGTAGCTACTGTAGGAAATACTTGTGCAATGGAAGTGTCTGGTGGGGCTTCACAGGGATTGGTACTAGGCCTGCCTGGTGCTAATTGGTGTTCTTTTTCAAGGTCCAGGAGAAAATGTAAAAGTGCTGATGATAACACAGATTAGTGAAATGGTAAATGATGATGAGGGAGCAGTTATGCACAGCAGTTGTCACTTGGTAAGCTAGACCTTTTCAGACAGCATTTTTTTTTTTAATGCAGCCACATGTGAAGCTATATATGTAGGAACAAGGAATGCATATCATACTTGCACAATGACCTGAAAGTAGTGACTCTGAAAAAAGATCTAAAGGTTACAATGATCAAGCTAATGACCATGAGTTCCCATCACATTCTTATGGTTCAAATCACTAATATAACAGAACAGCAGACTCCACCACTAAATATATTATCAAGACACATGCTGGAGACTATATACAATACTGGTATCAACATTTTGCAAAAGGTGTTAGCAGAGAGGGGCATGAAGCAGCTGCAAAGATAACTTAAGAACTCACGCAAAGTTCCCAATCTGAGAGAGATAATATGAACCCTTGGCTGAAAGCTGAAGCCAGACTAATTTAAATTAGAAACTGGTCACTTTGCCGTCCCAGCAATTCCTTTGATTATTTGTTTAAAGTGTATAGAAGTGACGGGCTCTGCACCTCTTGATGTGGTCACAGCAAGACTGGAAGCCTTTCAGGAAAACATGCTTCAGCTCTGTACAGGGGTAATGGCAAAATCTAATGGCCAGTTAGCAAGATCACTCAAGCTAGACATTCCCCTTTTTTCCACACTTGCCACAAGCTGGCTATCTGGTAATTTCGTGTCTGTAGCTTGGTATTCTGGTTATTGTCAAAATTATGTGCTGATGGCAATATAGAAAATCTCTCTTGAGGAACTTCTTTTCCCTCCCCACCGTCAGCAATGCTTACAGCAGAGATCTCAGAAATGTCAAAATGGTGTCCTTTCTAATCATCCTAGCTTTCCTGACTAATTTGTCCTGACCAAACTGTGATGTAACAGTTTCAGGGCTTGACAGAACTAGGTTTTATATGTTGATGGAACTGACAGTCCAGTGTCTATGACATGCTAATGCTGAGGAAAGAGGCACCAATTCCTTTTGACAACTTCTACTGTATAATGGCTCTACAGTCCTTGCATGAAGGCAGAATTGCAGAAAATTAAAGAGAATGTAATGAATACGATAGTGGGGGTGGGGAAGGGAAGGTATTCTTGAAGGAAT